TTCTCTTGGCTGTCTACTCTATGGAGTTTATTGGGCTTCTTGAAAGAAAAGCTCTCTTTTTGGAGATATTTGAGAACTTTCTGTGACATTGTTATTTCAAATATTTTGAAAAGTGTCCTTCCTTATCTGCAGAGGATATGCTCCCAAACTCCGAGTGTCGCCTGAAACTTCAGATAACACTGGACTCCATATGTCCTAAGTTTTTTCCGATATATGACATATGATAGGCACCCACAGTGTCCCAAATGGGCAGCATTAGCCCATTGGATATGAGTAAGGTGCAGCACAGCTGCTCACCCAGCTGTGTTTCCAGGCTTGGCTCCAACCGAGAATGGGGATGCCAGCTCCAGGGGGGGGCAAGACAGCATGCAATTTTGTCACGCAATTCAGAATGGCCCGTAATTTCAGTACATTTTGGATTATGGGTAACTGAAACCACAAAAAGCAACACTAGAGGTAGAGGCAGGACTACTGTATTTCTGTGCCTGTTTCACTAGTCTAGATTTCTTGTTAGGGGCTTATGGTTCCTTTTGATGAGGTCCCATGTAACCCTTTGTTCTTTTTATTTCATTCTTTCCCTTCAAACTGGGTGTAAGCAAGCAGTCCCTAGATTCTGACGGGACTTCCTTCCTAAGCCTATCTTTAAGTCGAATTTGTATATAAGTTAGGTACAGTTTGTATCTGTCAGGTAAATATCCGTCGTACTTTGTAATGTATAGTGTTCATTTCTGTACGTAAAAGCACTAAAGAAGCGCGTTCAGATTGCACTGAAACGTTTTCTCACAGTGTGCTCTAGTACTATAATTGATGTGTTGATGCCCACTTTCCCCATTTGTTATTATGAACCACTATATGTTGTCATTACTGGAGTCAGTGAAGACTACATGGGCACCTGGGCCTGGCCAGGCCCAAACTCAGCCTCATACTCTTTTCGGTTGGTGGCAGCCAGAGTCTTGCCCCTTTATGTCTAGACTCTCCTTCCCCACCATCTCCAGAACGGATAACCCAGCTCAGGCTGCAAGGCCTGGGCCAGGAGAGGCTACCAAGATAAGATTGGACTGGGATGGAGGAAAGCCCAAGTCTGGATTGAGGTCCAGGGTCACGATACTGTACCCAACTTTGGACAGTGTCAGAGAAACACCTGGCCAGGTCAGGTCTGCATTTAGCAACCCCTTCTCTGCCCTGAGGCCTCCGAATGAGCCTTCACTGGCTCCAGGACCAAGGTGGAGGCTCAAGGCCAATGCTTGCCCCGTGTGACACCATCACCTTACAGGCTCAGTTGACACAGGCAGCACAGGGTCTGGACCCAAGTGGGTGTAGGTGTTAGAAATGCCTGTTTGCTGCTGTCAGATGAGTCTGGTATGAGGTGGGACTCCACTCAGCCCTTCCCCATGCACTTGCCTTTGGGTTTGCCCCAAGGAAAGACCGACAGGGATGGTTCCTAAGTGTGAGTTGCAAGTGAGCCAGACAATCGCCTGTAGAGTTGTTTGCTTGTTTGCTTTTTTTTTTCCTTTTAGGTCACTGATTCTTCCACTGATTCAGTTCTACACTTCTATAGACTTGTTTTTTCTGCTATTTATTATTGAGCTTCGGGAGTTCTAATTGCTAATATTTTAAAGATTCCATCAGTGTTACATGTGTCATTTTGTTCCTACAATGTTTTCCCAAGTTCTAGGTTTGGGGGAGATTTTCCTTTATCTCTCTGTGTATACCCTCAGTTCTGGTTTTTTGAAGTCTGTGCCAGAGAGTCCCATCATTCCTGAACACACATAAGTTGTTTTTGTCCCTTTTATTTGTGATATTTGGGCTAACTTTTCCTGTTTTCCAATTGTTGTCTTCAAGACAATTTTTTTTATTGTTTGTTTTTGTTTTGATGTATTAGAAGTGTATTTCCATTTTTCCTGGATTGTTTCCTGCCCTTTTATTACTTTAGCTATCATTATTGTGTATTACTAAGGTGTGTGTGCCTTGGGGGCTGCCAACTGGTTAATTGTAATTTCTCGCCCAGATAGTCAATTACGCATGTCGTACGTGTGTGACATTAAGCACTTACGATTTCCCTTTGGCTAACTGCTGGAAACGGAAAGAACAGGGCTCTTCCCCATGGCAGGACAGGGAGTATCAGGTAGTTGGAGCCTCTCTTTAGTGCTTGAAAGATGGTGCCCTCTGTACCACTTACAGGATGATGAGGCGAGGCACCCTGTTGTTTGCTGGATGGGTTGGGGTAAGGCCTACATGAAGCCTTAAGTAGGTGGCATAGTGGATAGGAAAACAGTAGGTGGTTTCTCCCCATTGGCAGTAATGCGGGAGCCCTATGAGGAAGGGTGGAGAAGTTCTTCCCTGGGAGTTGGACCAGGGGGATAGTTTTGAAGAGTCTGTTCTTTGTCAACAGGCCCTGAGTGCTTCTGCCCAGACGAGGGAGGCTCAGACAGCTCTCCCGGAGGGCGCTGTGCAGATACAGAAGGGGAAGGGGGGCCCCGGACTAGGGGCAAGCTTGGGACTCCATATTTGGGTGTCCTCCAGGGATTATGGGGAGACTCCAATCAGTGGGACAGTACCAGAGGGGTCTGAGCAGTTAACGTGCTGTCTCTGTGTGCAGGACAGTCTATAATTTGCAATGGGGGAAACTTAGCCCTCTGATTCTTGGTGGGCTTGGGATTGTGGGGAATTTCTGTGCTAATGATCTGATCTCTGTAGGGGGAGGGAACCACATACTTTGCCAGCCCAGCTTGTCTGCACTGAGGAGGCCTGTTGGATTCATCTCCCCTTTCCCTTCCCCCTGCTCCTCCACCTTCCCCCTGGAGTGCACTCCCATGTTGATCACTTTCTTGGCCTGAAGTCCCTTCAGTCCATCCTGCAGTCCTTTACTGCCACAGTTCTCCCCCCGTGCTTCCCTGGTTTCTGCAATGTTGTTCGTGTGTGTTGTTCTCGCTCAGTCTTGGTACACTGACTTCATTACTGAACTGTTAATCTAGTACTTCTGTCTCAGATTATTTTATTTCCTGTTAGTCTGTTCCTGGTCTCCCCAATCAGGGAGTAGCCACCCCAAATGGGCCCTACTGCTCTGAGCTAGCCAAGTGGCCAGCTTGTGTGAGATCGCAAAGTCTCTGCTCACCCACTGCCCTTTCTCGGTCTCTCCTTCCACGCAGTATTGAATCTGTTTCCTCACTCCTTCATTGGATGGTCAGAGGTCCAAGGCAGCTGTTCATGTGTGATCTCGATTGGTTGTACAAGGTTCCGTGTAGGAAAAGGATGCTACATTGCCTCTCGCTCAGCGGCCTTCTTGGCCTGTCCAAAGTGAAAGTTTCCGGTCAATACCAGTTAGTTGACTGGTCTGCATATCTATTGAGCTTGCCTCTGATGTATTAAAAATACTTTTTGTTCAAACTTTTAAATTTTAAACATGAGAACAGAGGAAGTATGTTCCTCTCCCTGGAATTGTTTTGAGGAACCTTTTCCTAGGCCTCATGACTCAGTGGTCTACAGGACTCAACGGTCATGCCCTGAGCACTGCCGAAGGGACCAAAGAGAAGTCCCCGATCGAGGGGGGCTAACGAGCTTGCAGGGAGACATTGACATGGCACATTCTGGCTCGATTTGAACTGCTTTGATTATGATTAAAACATATTTCAGAGCCCAGTCTCTCTTCCTCACACTCTACCAAAACCCACACTACTTTTATTTAGCCCACTGGAATAGTGTACGTGTTTTATGTACAGTCATAGAACGAATACCTAATTATAAATTTGGTAGTATGGCTTCTAAACCAGGAAACAATATTTCCATAATTTTAGATGCTTAAGTGGAGCAGACGCAAATATTTATGATAAAGAAGTAATTTGGAAACATGATTTAGTTTGGAGGTTGTCCTTCCTGGATCGCTGCAACAAAAATACTATTGCATTAAAGGGTGTTGTGTGAAAATTACCTTTCCTGAATCAGCTTATCAAATTACTTTGGAGGTTAGCCTCAAAAAAAAAAAATCAACAATTGGTGGCAGGAAGTAGAATTTCAGGAATTTCTTCAATCATTTTCTTAGCAAAAGTCATTTTTTTAAGAAAGAGGGCCTTGTTGAATAACTATGCCTCACTCTTCTTATCGTCTTTCTTTCCTTTTAGTTCTCAAAATTAAGCAAGTTTTTTTTAATATACCAGCAATGCACGTTTTTTAAAGCTGTTAACTTGTAGCTATGTTTGCTTGTTTGTTTTTTTTCCCCTGCCAAATAATATCACTTTAATTTTGAGGTTAATACACAACCTGTAAAATAAGGGAGGCTGGTAACCAAAGGTTGATCTGAGACAAAACATTTTTTGCTATTCTCCGCTAATGATTTTAGCACTTTGTTGTGATTTCCCCCTCCTCTAAGACAAGGAGTTTCTTAGAGTTGCTCTGGCATCTTCTAATCCCTTACTCTACTCCACGGTTGGCTCAGACTAACAGCACTAGCACCACTTGAAAGTTTGTTAGAAGTCCAGACAGTCAAGCCCCTGGTCAGACTTACTAATGACTATTTTTAAGAAGCCGCTATGTACTGTAAAGTTTGCAAAACCACTAGTCTAATGAATGACCATTTGTATTATTTATAGAATATAATCTCAGGGAGATTGTATGGCTCAATGAATGGGTTTTTTGGTTGTTGTTTATTTTGGTTTTTAATTGTCTTGAAGAACTTATATAATCCATTCCACAGTTATTAGGTTGAG